GTAGCCTCACACTGCAGTGAACAAGGACACATATTCAACTTTTTAGCTACTAAGATTGTTGGACAAGCAGGCGCAAAAACAGGGAAGTGATTGAAGCCTGGGAAACAGGCCCTTCATCAGTAACAGGAGTTCTGATTTACCACAAGCCTATCAAGTTCTTAGAAGGTGAGGCTGGGCAGCACAAGTAAATGACAGCTAATGATTTAAAAGCCAGCCATCAACATACCCCAATCAACATATAAAAATCCACTTACAATAAATATCACACACAGAACAGCGCAAACTCTGCTAGAGGCTCCAACACTAGTCTGAAGATTCCGAAGACAAAACCTCTTGTCCCGGTGATCTATCCATATTGGATCCTGCAACATTATCCTGGGACACACACATTTGCCTTCATTCATGAGAAAAATGTATGCCTGAATGATGAAGATGGTGAAAAGGAACAGCATCTACTATCACCTTTTCAAAACAAATTTAAACATTTGCTTTTCCTATCTCATGTTGGGATGAACGTTCAATACGAAACAACCATTCCACTTTGTGGCTGGGAGGTCAATTAAGGAAACTGAATGTATTGAGAAGCCCTCTGTGCTAGTACTATTTACTATCAAGTCTTGAGGATAGTGTTTTTTAAAATCTCCTTTATGTAGACTGCATTCTGAGTCAGCTGTGAATGTGTTTTGGGTTTAAAAGATAATGAGGCAGAAGTAAAAAAAAACATACGCCTGAGACATGCCAAAAAATGAAACTGCTGTAATCAGAAGCAACCTGTTATTGAAAAACAGATATTTGTGACAGATAGCAAGAGAGTTGGCAAGGATTCACCTAGAATGACTTGCAGTAAACTTTGTTACTTCACCCTGACTTCAGGTAATTTGAGAAGACACATGTGGAGTATAGTTGTAGGTTTACTCTCTGATTGTGAATTGGCACACCCAAACTAGAGTATTCTCATGTTATCATAGCATATTGTGGATGTAGTCTGATCAACTCAAAATAGGGAGGAACAAAGACTTATGACTCAATCCTAGCATCAGGAAAATAAGCAACTAAACAGAAAAGTTGCAGAAGTTTATTAATGATTGAACTTTATTTTAGGATAATAATCATACAGATTTTTTTCCTGAAATACTAGGTATTCCAGAAAAGGACTCTCTTTCCAGATTTCTTATTTACCACCATTTGGATTTTTATTTAGGAATTAAGCACTTTTCCCCGAAATCCATGAACTCCTAGTTATTTTATCTAATATAATTCTACAAATAGTAAATCCAGGACTTGAGTGAAGCTCACGTTCTGATAACTCCATGGATATAATCCATGTAGTTTCCTTGATAACAATTCAGTAAAAAATTGTAATTGCTTTTGAGATTTCCAGATCTATCTTACTGATAGTGACACATCAAAATACTAACCAATCTCCCCTCCCTTTCTGTCTTCTAGAAACTTGGTGTAACAAGCCTTCTCTAACTCAATCTCGGTTTATGAGATTTGCAAGCATAATAGCAAATGTAATGGGCTCTCAATGCTATTAAAATAATAAATGAAAAGTTCAATCAACCCAAGAAATGGTAGATATAAGCAAGCTTATTAAAGGTCAATGTAAGTGTCAGGTACAAGTATATCTACATTTTCTATTAGCATAGTGAGTCTGTTTATAATTATAATCTTATGAAAGAGATGGTTGTATAACTAGATTAAAAAAACTTTGCCTCAATAGTAGAGCATTTGCTTTGTATGAAAAAGATTCCTGGTCAATCTCTGGCATCTTCAAATAGGGATGCAGTGGTATGTAAATCTCTGATAAGGACTGCTGGATGTTTTTTATGAAATATTTACCACAGAAAAAATTTCAGTGTGAGACAAAAGAAAATGATAGATGTGCACTAATATTTGATTGGTTGATTGTGTGCCATCAAATCTGTGTCAACTGTTACCAATCTCATAAATGGATCTTCTCTGAGATTATCTTTGTGCAAACTGGCCCTTCAGGATGTACCATAACTACTATAATTCAATCCATTCCCCTTACTCCTGTTCATTATCTTGTCTTTCCTTCTAGCTTTTCCAGCATTACAAACTGCTCAAGAGAGCTGGGTCTTTGCATAATGTATTCAAAATATGATAATTGGAGTCCAGTCACTTGTGCTTTGAGCTAAACTTCTGGATTGGTTTCTTGTATGACCTGATAGTCTGTTTACTGGCTGCCCACGGTAATCCAAGGAATCTTTTCGCAGAATTTAAGAGNCTGGTATAAATTTAAGAACTTAAAGAATTTAAAATTAGTGACAAAAGCCAAATAAGATTTTAATACAAGAAATTCGTAAACAAATTAAGGGATGAGATCAATTTTGGTCATTAGGACTTTTGCTGTAAGATTTTGGAAATATTTAGCTCAATAAATAGCATCTTCTGGGAACCAAACTGATAGTCTGCCTTAAATTGAAGACTTTACGATTATGACTGCACATTAGAGGCCACTAAAGATTCCAGGCATAAAGAGGTAGAAAAAGAGCGGGGGAGTTAGACAAATTTGTCTTATGTTTTGGGCCAGCATTGGGGCAAAATGACAAAAAATGGCATAAAATTTGAAAAATTGCAAGAAGTTTTTGAAGAATAGGGACATAAACTAGAAGCTACAATATCATCAGTGTCCTCTGCCTCTATGGATAGACTATGACCAAAATTATTAAAAAAAGAAATGACATATCTTAAAGAGAATACTTTGTGAGATCTACAGGATAAAATGCTGAAACAAGTCTTAGGAATATGAGCAAAATAGAAAGTTTAGCTCTAACACATGTTTATGTCTATTAATTATACATTGATTCCATATTTTCTATAGAAAGCTATACTTCTTTTCACTGTTAATAGCCAATCATACTTTTATATGGATCACAAACTTAAATAACAGGCAAGAATGATTTATGTAAGGAGAGGTTCAAATGGATATTTTCTCCTATTATGTTACTTCTCAAAAAATCAACATTTTCATTATCAAGTGTTGACATACTTTAAAAGAGGGATTTAATCCAAATTATGTTTACCATAAATTAAATATATGTTTGTCCTATCCCAGCAATGGTGAACCTTTTTTGGCTCGCGTGCCATAAGCGGGGGGGGGATGCAGGGGGGTCGTGCGCAGGTATGCCATACCCATAATGCAATGCACGGCCCCCCCAGCGCGCATGCGCACATGACAGTCGCTCTCCCCCCATTTTCTGCATGCTTTTTTCATCCTCCCCAGGCTCCAGAGGCTTTATAGGAAAACAGTCTCCCCCCCCCCGAGGCCTTCCAGTGGCTTCAGCCTTCAGAGCGCAAAAAAATGGCCTGTTTGCCTGTAGGGGGGGCTGTTTTCACCCTTCTCAGGTTCCTATAAA